TGAGCCGGTGCAAGTCCAATGAAACATCAGCTGGCTTTTTGCTATTTGTACTTTTCTTTTGTCCTTCCTTGTCTTGTGTGCATATGTATGGTCTTCCCTCCCACCTCCCACATGCCCTCCAGCCTGTGTTTCGACTTTAGAAAGCTGGTCATGGGAGTCGACCCACGAATGTATGAGGCAGCTCCATGAGAAGTAGAGTAGCAGCATAGAGCGTCAGTCTGGTAAAGACCGGGCCTGGTGTACCCCATATATGGAATTGGGCGCATGGCCGATGCGCCATGGGATATGCTGGAAAACATAAACACACACGTGATGGCCAGAGACCCTGTGCCAATACCAAACCGAGGGGGGGGAGAGAAGGGGGGCAAAGACCAAGCACTTTGCCATCAGACTTTTCCATGCTTGCTCACCTCTTTTCAAATAGAACGCCCCTTGACATACATAATGCCTGGACATTTATTGGAATAGAACGCCCAGGGGTTACATGGGTTTTAAAGGGCGGGAAGGGGGGTATAATAGGTATATACATGGGTTTTAAAGGGGGTTGAAAGGGGGTTTTACTTCCAAGGGGTATGTTTCGGTTTGATTTTTTGTTTTTATTTTTTTATTTCCGAGCTTATAAGGAATTCTGAAAGTGCCCCTCAGCCAAAAGTTGGTCCCATTGCAATTCTCGACAACATATTTCTTTTTAGTAAACTTTTACAGATTTTTTTTTAATTATTTTTTTCGGAATTTTGGGGCCCAACAGAAGTCGCCACCACGTTACTGAATATAAGGCCCGGGCGTTATATTCCTATACAAAGCCCGGGCGTTATTTTCGGGTGAAGACGGTAGCCAGTAGGCCTAGCCTCCCAGTTAGCTGCAGCAGCTGAGGCCCAGGTACCCAGGGTCCCAGTCCGGAAGGTTCTCAGACTGGGAGGAGCTCAGTCCCAGCCAGGCTGCCGCAGCCTCCTGGAAAGAACAAAAGGAGAGGAGGATGCAGCATTCTACACATTCGGAGGCCTAGCTCTCCTGTGAGCAGACATGGCCAGGCCCCAGGCATTGGACAGAGGAGAAGAGGAGGAGAAGCCGCAGCTAGGCTGCTCCGCTTATAGACAGCCATAGCTGCACCAAGGAGGGAGGAGGGGCCACTGGGGACAGGGGTGATCACGGAAGATGGACAACGGTGGGAACAGGCGGTGAGATCAGGGGCGATCACCAAAAAGCACACTCGAGGTGGTCACACCCTGCAGCATTGTTAGGTGTGTGTGTGTGTGTGTGTGTGTGTGTGTGTGTGTGTGTGTGTGTGTGTGTGTGTGAGAGAGAGAGAGAGAGAGAGAGAGAGAGAGAGAGAG